AGCCATTTTTGTTTCACAATCACAAGTTGAAATTTAAGCAAATATTTGGCAAGGAAGCTTAAGTAGGCATTTTTATTTCACAATCAAAAGTTAAAATTTAAGCAAATATTTGGCAAGGAAGCTTAAGTAGGCATTTTTATTTCACAATCAAAAGTTAAAATTTAAGCAAATATTTGGCAATGAAGTTTAAGTAGGCATTTTTATTTCACAATCAAAAGTTAAAATTTAAGCAAATATTTCTGTTTCTCGAATAAAATTTACAGCGCACACTTGCTATTGCTTGCTCCTCGTTGTTAATTGCATTTTTGTACTTTTCCGTTTTTTTTGTCTAATAATTGAAGATACAACTCGCGGACACGTCCGCACTCTGCCAGCTTCAAAGTTGTTCTCCCCTCTATCTTGAAAATGAAAAACAGACAAACTTCTCGTTCTTACTCAATTTCCCTCTTCTTCTTCCTGTTGCTCTCTCTATAGCGGCTTGCCGCTACTCTCACAAAAGCAAGCATAGATCCCACAAAATCATACGATTTTGTCTACGCTTGCAAATGCAAAAGGAAAAAAAAGGAGTACCGCAAAATCATACGATTTTGCCTGTACTTGCAAACAAGGAAATCAGAGAAGAACAAAATAAACATATCCCGCAAGATCATGCGATTTATTAGCGGTACCACAAAATCGCAAGATTTCGTCTAACGGCATGCCGTTATTCCGCTCCTTGCGGTTGACACAGACCGACAGATACCCTACCCAAGGTTTGTTCGCGGCCGTTACACCGTTTACAAATCTTTAGTCAGGTCCAAAATTGAATTTGGACATTCCATATGTTGCAATTTCCAAAAATATATTGAAAAACGTATACAAGCATTTGAAAACCGAATGTTGAAGCGTTGTACTGGACTGACCCTCTCAACTCCTCAACATATTCTCAATGTTATATCTGGTGAAAGGCCAGTTTCCGAAAGAGCCCTTTTTTGCACTGCCAAGGAGTTAATTAAAGTCAAGATGATAAATCCTTCCCTTTTTCAGGAAATTATATCTCTCAGTGACACTGTCACTTGCAGCTATACTTTTTGCTATCAAAAACTTCGTCATATTTTTGATAAGTTAGATTCAATTCCCCCCTTGAATTTCATTACCAGCAAATGAAAAGTCTTCATAAACATTCTCGAACCGATCTCTACCTTAAAACAAAATGTCAACTTCTCTTGTATAAGGTTGTTATGCCAAGAAAACCTCCTTTTTTATTACAACAACGGATATGATATATATGCCGCTGACGGTTCCGTCGGACATAATGTATCTAGCTTCTCGGTCGTGAAACATCTATCTGAAACAATACTTCGAGTCAAAGTGGAAGAGGAACTTTCCTCTACTTTTATTGAGTTGCTCGCCATTCGACATGCTATCATGGTTGCTATTTCCGATGGTATCAGACGTTTTGTTATTTTTACCGACAGTAGGTCAGCTCTACTTCTAATAAATAAAAGAGATGCAGAAAATCAATATGTGTTTGACATTCACAAGACGTTGCACGAATCTCAAGTGGATGATTGTCACCTCGTTTGGGTACCTGGCCACTGCGGCTTTTTTTTAAATGTAAAAGCCGACTTCCATGCAGGGAGAGCTCGTGTTGATGGGACAATTTTGTCCATCAAATATACTCCCAATGAAGCAGTTCGGGCAATTCGCAACCACATCCTTCAACAGCTAAACGACGAATTTAAAGTAATCGCGCGCGTCAAATCCAATCGTCTTTTTTATAAATTAAATCCCACATTTCAATTCAAACCCTTCTCTGTATCTTCTTTTAATTCCTGGGAAAACAAAATTCTTTATAGACTCATGAGTGGTCACACTTATGATAAAGTTTATTTAAAAATGATTCGCGCTATACCATGTGATGTTTGTGAAGTTTGCAATGTTGTTGAGTCTGCTGAGCATCTAATGTTCAGATGCCACAGGCTTGATGGCATTAGAGATTCCTTTAGCTTCTTCAAGTTATATGGCTGTCTCCTCGATCTCTTTGCAGCAAAAAATGTACGTTATCTCGTGGAACTAACTTGCTTTATTAGAAAAGCCAATTTATCCTTTTAGAATTTTTCTTTTTCCTCCTCTTTCCTTTTTTTTTTTTTTTGCGTTCAATCATTTTCAATTACCATAACATTCCTTTTCGTTTTCAGCCAAAGTTTGCAACACTCAAAGTACGCCTAAAATATTTATAGTCGGTCAAACATATATCGTGATAAGTCGAGTAAGATCTCTGGAAGGCATACAAATACGGGAAATCGGCTCTACAAACTCGAAAAAAGTTTTGTAATAAAGAAGTACTCACAGAAATCAACAGAAGGACACTTTTTAAAAAAAAATGATTCGAATTATGATTCACTAAAGAGTAAAAAATAAATTACATAATTTTAAGAACTATAGTTCTTTACATTTCTTCATTTTCATCTTTCATTTTTACATTCTTTCATTTAACGTGAAAAGTAGTTTTTTTTTTAATATTAAATTTAATTTATTTTCTTTTTGTACGCAGAGGTTGGCTGACATATGGGTTCGAAAGCTTACTACCACCCTCGAATCCATAGTTGGACGCCTTTTCGGAAAGAAAATCTTTTTACCATTTTTTTATAAGAGCAACTAGCAGACAGTGCCTATTTTAATTAAAGTATATATCAGCCAAAGTCTTTATACACCGAATTAAGATATATTATACTAAACAACAAACAGCTTCGCATACTCATGGGCTCCACACCAACATATGCGCTTTGTTGTGAATAACGCCGTCAACTCCCGAATTGTGGCTGTATAGCTTGCGCAATTATGCTGATAAATATGTTAAACAATAAATTATATTTAACAATTTTTTTTTTTAAAGTGCACATGACATAACACTACATTGGTTCACAATGGAATAATATCAACTTCGTGAGAATATACGATTTTACAGTTTTAGGTTTATAATATTCTACGTTTATTGTACTGAATATATGCTGTACTGTACAAATGTGCAAAAATTTCTAAGTCAAACAAAAAATTGTTATGTATTTTCTTTCTTTCTATTGTAGTTGCTTTATTCCAAAAATGTATTTTTTAGAGAATATGTAAAAATGTAAATTCAAAGACAATGAAATATAAAGATGTTCAGCTGAATCAGCAGCCACTTGTATGCTTGCTCTTTCATTCTCATTATTTGCATGGGTGCAGATTAATAATTTTAATAGTTCCTTGATATGAGACGCTCTCAAGCGTTTGGAAAACACATACAATTCTGTGTTTTGAAGTGAATATTTGTTACCGTATGCATACAAGTGTGCACGTATGAAACAAAGCCAAGATTTATCTAGCACATATAAATTGTTTTCGGTTTTTCTTTCAGTGTTAACATATGCATACGCGCTTCGTTTTGGTGAAAAAAAAAAAAATCAAACACACACAAAGTAAACAATATAGCGTATTTTCATCTGATTTAACCAATCAAGTGAGCTCCCGCTGAACAACGCTGTCAAACCTTTCAAAAAGAAAAAAAAAATTGTTCTCAAATCACATAAGTTCGCATATAATTGACAAAATATGGTGTGGCCACAAGATCGTGTGGTTAAAGTCAATGACCAGGAATAATTGACAGTTCCCAGAGCCGGATTATGTACGCATTCTATGCGTGAGCACTCAGTCTTCAAATAATGAAGACACAACGTTCTAGCCAGAATTATGGAGCTTGGGAATAATCTACGCCACATATACCTTAACATTATAAAATTTTTTTTTTAGTTCAACGAAAAACATGAGAATAATTACATCGGATATGTGTAGAGCAAATTCAATTGTTGTCGACACTTCTTAACGCTTGACACTTAATCAGGTCTTCACACTTAAACAGGTCTATATTCCCTATGAATTCGACGTTCGATGAGTCGTTCCAGTCCCGCGGATTTAACGAAGAGATTTATGAGAGAACAAAACTTATGCGTTGGACAAAAGTCTGCAAAGGTTTGGGTCAAAGGTAGTCGAAATAACTCATTTTAATAAACTAGACATCACTAAAAACAAATGCTTCAATCTTAATGCGACACGTATATGCTTCGACGTGCTTCATTTACAAGCGTACATGGGTTAAAGTATCCAGTAAAGGCTTCCGTTGAACGAATACTACAATGGCAAAAGTATTACCACACCAAGATAATGTGCTCGAGACAAATTGCTCTTGCCCACACCCTACAAATCGTGAAACCACTCACCACTAAGATTATTTAGTCCCCCCGTGAAACCACTGGCCAAATCTCAAGTCTTAGACGCAATTAAATATCTGAAACCCTAGTATCAATGAAAATACTTTAGTTGAATTTCACCAGCGTTCGCAGCAAAAAAAAGCACCTCGAATATTATCTTTACTACAATGATAACTCAGTGGCATGTGTGTCCGAATTTTGTTTAAACCTCATGATGCTTTCACGACGACTATACTGTCAGAATGGATGGCTTCTCGAACTCCTCCTAAGGTTTCGGTATAGAAATTATTATTTCCGATAAGCTGATAAGCTCCGCTCCCCATAAAGTTACGAGAACTTTCCAAGACATATCAAACCTTCAGCTCTGCCTGTAAATTAATGAATTCTACTTAGTTAACCAATCCTTCCGAGTGCTTCTTCGACATCTTCTGCAATACCTTCAGTGCTGGTTTTACCAAGAAAGCGCCGAAAAAATCATCTCCGCAGTTCCTGTTGGAACAGTGAATTCAACTTAGTTAGTGTTAAACTCAGACTCACGTTCTCAATCTGCTCATGACAACATCGTTATTTTTGGATCCGGTGTTATCATCGTTTTTCCTAACGGCCTAACTCTTAGAGCATATTTTCTAGATATCTCCGCAGCTTTCAACTCATTTAATGTCATCACTCTAAGATCCGCACCATTCGCTTTAAACCTACCCACAAGATTCCGCAGGCTGTTACACGAACACCTTCACTACAGCAACACACTAGTTAACTTACCACACACAGGAGGTTCTAAAGGGGCACCCCGCAAATGTCTGTACTAAATTCAATTTTTATCAGCATTTAAATTAATGACGTGGCAATGTTTCCGTATTGGATTGTGGAGATGATCTTGTAATTTTCAGCTTCCACTGTAATCCTAAATTGGCCAGCACACAATCCGCCTTAGATATCATTACTACCAGTCTAGAGCCTCTGCAGCTGTACCTGTCGATTCGCCAGACAAAGTTCCTAGACTTCTCTAACAAATGCAAACCACTTACTATTGCACCACTTCACAACAACGGCTCCAATATACCCTATGTGGAGTCTTTCAACTTCTGAGTCTTCTCAACACTCGAAAACTTTACTTTCCTCTCATATTGACACGGTCGTCAAAAAAAAGCTTTTTAACTACTAAACGGAATTTTACAATGAGGCCTCTCTTTACTCAGCTATTGTTTGGCGAGAAAAACTGAATTCGTAAAATATGCAAAATATGTTATTCATTTTTTTAACAATTTTTTTAACGAGGTAGTTGAAATATACCGATACAAAAACGAAATATATGCAGCAGAATATTACTATTATTATTTTTTGATATGGCCTGCTGTCGGGCACTATGGTGATGAGGGAGATTTATCTGAGGAGCGAGATAAGGGAAGGGAGTACTGTTTTTGAACGTTTGCCTTAAAAATGGAGATATCAAGTACGGTAGGAAACACCACTTCTAGTAGGTTGTTCCGAGAATGGACAGCACGGCTTAAAATCGACTATTCACGGTAGTGTGTTGTACGGTATATAGGTAAAGCCAGGACGAATAGGTGAGAACTCTGATAACGACGTGTAGTCGATTTTATTTAAACGATTTAGTTTTTGGACATAACCATTTCATCTCTGTCCCTGCGCTGAATGATCCTGTTCCTAGGCGAAACTTGGCTCATGTTATGTCGACGCTCAAGCGTATTGTATATTAATAAAATGAAATATATATATTTTATTTGTCCTGTCCTATGAGGTAAGTATACGTGTCTAGCTAAACTAACTAGTTCGTTAGATATAGGAGGGGTTCTATACCTTGCTTACGGACATACCGGAAACCAGAGTCGAAACTCGATAGCGGACTTGGGACTAATCACCTACCCTGGACCTAATCACCTACCCTGCCTATTGGGCTCCCTCCGGTCAATAGAAAGGTTTGCGGCAACCGCGAAGTTGGGTCCGAAATCATCTCTAATCTATTTTCCTTTCATAATTAAAATCAATGTTAATTTAATTAATTTTTTTTTTTTTGTGTTTTCTTTTAAACAGTATGTTTGACATTTATCGTTAACGTTAATTTACTCTTTGTGTTTCTTTTAATTCAATAGCAATAAAAAATAGATTAATATAAAAAAAAATTAAACAAACTATTATAATATATAATATTAGTATTTTACAAATAAATGGTCTTTAAAATTATTAATTATACATCAATTTTTCTTTATATAGATATGGCCATAACTTACATGTTCATATTATACTGTTACGAACATCCCAAATCCTGTTCATTCCAGGTAAGTAATAAAATCCCTAAAGAGGGAAAAAGCAAGTGCACACTCGCAGGACGCCATGTAGCTGCCGGCCAAGGAAAACGAGTACCAGAAAAACAGGTTAACGAATTAAAAATGAAGCTATAAAATTAGGTATTAGTAATGTGATGGTAAAAGTCTGTATAGATAGAATATTTGCTGAAGCGAGAGTTAGTAGAAAAAGGATATTAAAGTTGAGCAGTTGAAAGTATTGCCAAAAATAAATTGTGAATAATCCTACATTTAAGAAATATAATTATAAATTAAAGAACTTTGAAGTGTATTATTCTTGAACAAAATATCCACGATCCAGTGATACGGACTGTATCTTAGAAAAGCGAATTTTATAACAATACTTATTTAGATTCAACTTAAACATACTTACTAAACAACTTAAAAAGCCTCAAACCACGATGCATATAATAGAAAGGATACATCCAAATCAACAATCATACTCATCTTCCGTTAACCTTCCTTGATTATATGGCATTATGTCCAGCAAATCAGATTTTAAATAAATCCCAAAATATGCAAAATTAATGGGGAAATGACCTCACCCGATATGTTTGCGACTAAATATTCATTTATTAGGTGTTGTTGTTGTGCGGTTGCATCGAATGTGTGCGTTGTATACAATAATGCAACGAGAACATATTACTGATACGTCCTAAACTAGGGTGCACTGCGCACAAGTATTTTCGCGCAGAGAACAAAAAAAACAAAGAAACGCCGACTTTGAGATTGCAGAAAGGTTTAATTACTTATTTAAAAATTTTAAAATTGTCTTCTGAATTAAAAAACTGAAAAAATGAACTTAGAATAATTAATGAATCCAAAAGCATTTGTATTTTATAATTTAGTTTGCTTTGAGATTTTGCAACAAAATTTATGTGAAAAGATTTCGGCAAGCTGTCACAACTTTTCGTTTGTTTTGTGTTTTCCCCGAAAAAATCAATTTCCCATCATTTTTTGCTTATCCTTATCTGTGGGACATATGACGTCCCCTTCTTCGTCGGAGTTGTCAGAGCGTTCGGCGCTTGGATTTGTTATCCATGATCCGCAGTTTTCTGTCGAACTTTAATTCTAACGGTTCGTTGAATAGATAATCAGAGTAGCCTTCATTCTTGTTATGGCCACTCCTTCTCATTTCCCTTCTCAGATGTTTCGGCGTTTCATCCAGATCGTCCCCTGGAGGAAGTTATCGGTAGAAGATGTTGAACCATTTCGTTGACGCTATCTCACTATGGAATACGTCACGGCAGTGTTTATAGTAACAGTGTTTATAGTTACAGCGATTTCTGGGAAATGTTTGCCATGTGGCATGCTCTTC